GCGACTCGTCTGGTGTCGCCAAGCCGTTGATGTCGACCCGGGCTCGGTCTCGAGGGCTGCTAGTCATGCAGCTAGCATATTGCTTGCTTCTGCTAGCCTGCTAGTCTGAGTAGCAGCCTCCAGCCTGCCTGCTAAAGCCTGAAGCTCTATCACCGACTTCCCTCACCCCTCTCTGGCGGTGGGCCGCCCAGCCTGGCGCACCCAATCCTCTCTGGCGCCGTACCGATGGACCCTCGACGACCCTATCCGCCGGATGGATGTACTCGTGCTACTGCGACCTTGGCAAGTGGCAAGTTGTATATTATTCAGAGACTAGCGAGGTCGACCGGAACTAGCCTTATAGATTACTGCAAGAAACTGAAGGTGTGTTTTTACCCCGGAAAAGTAGGAGACAGAAAAAGCAATTTCCGTGTCTTGGTCTTGGTGCTGGCTATGTAGTACCAATGCGGCGGATCCCAATACTAGTATCATCCTTTCTTCGCAACAAACTTTGGACAATCCAGAGAGCGCAAAGGAGGGGCAAGGGTAATAGTTAATAACTAGGTACTGACCTGCATGGGGTGGAGCCGACTCGCTTCGCTCAACTTCAATCGATCTCCTCGGCGGCAATTTTCCTCCTCTGACGCGCTGCGGGGTTTCACTCTTGTTATTACTGTTATTGCGCACTCGGTGTCACCGCCAGCCTCTCTTTAAACAGCCTCCGGGTGTGTGCTGCTTCGGTCTGCAGCTTCTGATTGTACTTGGCAGCTTAATTGGCCTGGTATAGTTCTTCAACGCTCGTAAAAGTATGTAATAGACAACAGGGGGAGGAATTCGCCGCGCGTTCAGACGTTTTCTCCTCTAGAGCGACAGCCTGTCTCTTTGACGCCTGGATCGGCACGGGGCCCTCGGCTGTCACTGGTTCGTTTCAAAGCACTGGATCCTAGGGTTTCATCACTGGCAGACCAGTCGTGCCAGCACATCAAAACGTAAGATACAGACGTGAAAGGTAAAAAAAAACAAACACAGAACTGCGCTTGCTTGCTTTGCTGATGGACCGCTGGCTGGTTCCTTGGAAAGGTAACAGCGCCAGAGAAAGCGGAGTCTGCCACTTAATCCTATTATTGTTCCTCCTTTTTTTTTCCTTGATTTTTCCGTTTCGCGCCCTATTCTTTCAGGACAGAACGGGGGGACACATGCTTGGCGAGGCTTTTCAGCCCCATACATAACCCGTCATCCGTTTCGGAGTCGCATTGGAAAAGCAACACAAGGACCGACCATTAATCGTTACTGCTATTATCGTTCTTCTTATTCTTCTTCTCCAGAAGCCTCCATTGTCTAATTACTGTTATTATTCATATACTTTCTCATTGGTTTTGGTCTGCTCTCACTTGCCCCTCCTCCCTTCTTCTTTCTTCTCTTTTCTCTCTGATTCATACATCTTGCCATTGAATCCGAATCTTCTTTTTCTTTTCTGCTAGTCGCCTCGGCCTCTTTCGAACAAGGAACCGACACGACTTTATCATTGGAATTGAGCCAGGGGTCGTTGGTTCAATTGGCAGTGATTCATTTGCATCCCACACTAAGCCTTATATAAAGTACAGCAATTCGGCTTGCACACCAACCCGCCTCACCCGGCCAATTGGGCATCAAACCAAGACTACATCGACTGCATCTCAAATGCTGGTTTGGTAAAAAAAATAATAATTGTAGTGCGGGAATTCGAGAATAATCCGGGAATACCCCCTGTCCCAGCGATACCCAACTACACGAGCAAAATCGAGGCGAAATTTGATTCTTATTGGGCCGTCGACCAATATGTATTACATTCTCTACCTTGCCAGTATGTACTATGCCCACCAATGGGACTACTTTTGTTCCTCTTTTTTTGTCGTTTTTCCACACTCTAAATTGCTTCACTTTGTCGGTGTTGACGTGGCTCGATCGTTCGTTCGGCCACTATATGCAAAACTATATGCAAAACCCCTGACTAACCCTTTTTTTCCCTGTTATTATAGGTCTCTGTAAGCGCAGGCGTTGGTCTGAGCCTCACTACGACGCCTTCCGCAGCTCATCCGGGTTCACATGCGTAGTCCGGGTCAACAACCGCGAGTACAAGGCGGACACGATCTGCGAAAACGAAGTGATGGCGCGCGAGAACGCGGCGATGCGCGCGTACCTGATCTGCCGCAACTTCTCTGTCAATGATGGAATGTATCCGGCTGGCCATGACCATGGCGGCGTGATGCAGGGGGTCCCCGTGGCGATTGGCACGGGGCGGCGCGCCCGTTACGCGGACGAGAGCGATGCCACGTCGAGTGCTGGCAGTAGGAGTGGTGGGAGCAGCCCGGAGAGTCATGAGGGCAGTCGACTGGCTCGGGGACGCCGTCAGGGTGTTCCTACGAGAGCGTTGGCCTACCAATACTAGACATCCGTCTATTCGTCTGCTGGGAGATGTGCGTGGGTTACGCACTCGCGTATAATTGCATCCTGGTTGCAATGCAACGAAGAAACAAGAAGGGAAAAAAAAGACATATTGAAGCCTCACTGGCATGACGATGTTACGACTATGATGATGATGATGATGGAGATGATTGATTAGAGTTGACGCCCATCTATCTGGGGAGAGCACGACGTTAGTTTTCTTTTTGCCTGCCTGCCTTTTTTTTTTCCCGGTCTTCTTGCGATGATATGATGATGACAATAACGACTTACGACTATTAACGATTTTGATGACGCCCAAAACTGATTTTTGTTGAATTTTGGTTCTTTCATAGAATAGTGTTTCCCCTACGCATGTCGACTGTGGTTCGGGACCATGATGTTTTACCTGGATACCAGGACTTGATTTCGTGTTTTATAATAGCCTAGCCAAATTGAGAACATTCCTCGATTAACATTACCTGCATTGTTTAAATATATAAATATATATATATGCCTGGTAATCACATGATATCATGTTAAAGCGGCAAGGAGCGGTGCTATATACCACGTACATATATACAAGATACGGATTTCAGTAAAATAACCTAGTTAATCTAAAATCATCTCAGTACAACTTTCAAACGATAGCCACTTAACATTTCTCAGCGAGTGATACTACTCATATCACACAGCGACTTTCTGAGCTTCATATTTATCCAGACCAGTCCCGACATCTGTAGCAGCACCTGCATTTGCTGTGATATTGACACCTAGCAGCTCACGCATTTCAGGACTGAGCGAGTCTCTTGTTTCATGGGATAGTGCTGCTGTCCAATCCATCCGCTGCCGGGGGAAGGGCGCAGTGTAATACCCGAAGAGCTATACTTTCGCCTGTCGGCTTTTGCGAGGAAATAGCCATTGAAAATACAGTTGAAGCCGAACAACTTACAGTTTCCGGAATTATCGGTTCTTTTAAAGCATTGTAGGTTACAAGACGTGTATATGCTTACAACTCCTGGGCAATGATATACTACAATATACAAACACCGACGAAATAAAAGGCTAAATATCAAAATCCGTGCATGGCTGCTTCTTATGCCCAGATGTCCACCGAACAAATGACACTGAAACTATGACAAAGTACGAAAGATACACTTTTCCTCCGCAAGCGAATTCATTTTCCGGTATCTTTTAGAGTGTGTTGTCTACCCTCTTTTAATATCTCGGACGTGTAAATCTTAAAAGCCCAAGCAAGATGTATGTAATATGTATTCGGATCTGAATCTGAAAAATCGTGGGGTAAAACCGTTCAATGTTGATTTATGAGATTTTGAATTAGATCTTCCATCGCCCTGGTGGTCTAGTGGTATGATTCACGCTTAGGGTCAGTCTTCTGATTCGTCAATTGTGTGAGGTCCCGCGTTCAATTCGCGGCTAGGGCCGTTTTTTTGCGTGTTTATCTATCTATGGCTCTATGTGTTGTGCGACAGTGGAAAATACTTTAAAGAGATTTAATTTCTCTATGTATCTACCATACGCTAGGTCGTGCTGTCATTTTTCTTTTTTTAAGAATTTCTAGTTTGTTGTTTGTTATACATGTGTTTTGGTTTTCTTCGGAATTTATTGTATGGCAAGTCGAAACGCTAAAGTTGTTAAAATGACTTTTAAGTGGCCTAAATGATTCTGGAAAATTAATTGTATTTGAATGGTATTGCGGTTTTTCTGGGTTTGTATGGTAAGTCGCAGCAGCTTTTCCTGCTATGTAAACAATTAGAAATTGATTTCATACAGTGGTGCCGTCTTGTCAGTTGCAAATAGGAGCCATCTATGCATACAAAACAGTGGGAGTTAAGTTTGGAACCAAAACCTTGCATGGATTAATTTTCTTATTGGGGCCTCTGCTTCTACTTCTTCTAATCTAACCAAGGCCGCACACCAATGATACAGACTGTGGATTGTCAGGTGCGGCAACACGCGTCCATCACTGTGATACAATTTCGACGGGCTATATATATATATATAATCTACATAGAGTATTGAAATACACTTGGGTGTATGTAAATATAATTACGGTGTGGGTGTGATGTGTTTAAATGAAATCCCATTTTTAAGACTTGACATTTAAAGGAGTGTGCACTCTCTCAAATATCAGTGGGTTCTCCGGATGTCGGTATATGTATAGCAGGAAGTAACATTTGAACTGTTTCAGCAGTAGCAAAACCTGCCACCACTTGACATCAAATGATACATATGCGTGGACGCTTACATATGTAGTAATAAACATGAAATTTAATTAAATTGAATCTGAATTATTCTGACAATATGTCAACTTGCCATAGAGAATTGAGATACCTACAAAAGAGCTTATCGTAATGAATATTGTATCGCCATTACAAAATTCTAGTAATAATACGGATAGGTATCGCTTGGCATTCCCACACATGAACGGTGCGCTCTCATTATTATTTAATTGCCTGATTAATCAACGAGCCCTGGTGGTCTAGTGGTATGATTCACGCTTAGGGCTGATTTCTGATTGGTTGCTTGTGTGAGGTCCCGCGTTCAATTCGCGGCTAGGGCCGTTTTTTAATCAATAAGCCCTGGTGGTCTAGTGGTATGATTCACGCTTAGGGTCAGTTTCTGATTCGTTAATTGTGTGAGGTCCCGCGTTCAATTCGCGGCTAGGGCCTATTTTTTTGAAATTTTTGTATCGTAGTATACAGCATATTGCCGTTTTGGATCTAGCCCCTGCCGGCCTCACCACCGTTATGATGCTATCTAACTCGGTTCAATTCTGCCTGTACCGGGAAGGCACAGTGCATTTATTTCACCTCACGGAGAATGGAGATTCCTCACCCGCGCCCGAGCACCAAGCTCTATACTACTTAATTACTACTTTGGTGGCGTATCCACCCAAGAAGGCGCGGGCCACGGATACATAGGGGGTTAATCATTAGGAAGCTTAGAATGTCACAAGAAGCGAATAGATAAGGTATATTATTCATTTGCAGGGAGGCAAAATATAACCTATAAAAATAGCCAATAATAACAATGAAATTTTATTAGCTTCTCATATATAGTTCTCATATATACAAGAGAGGGTTTATTTGTAAAACATGAAAATGCTCGAGTGATAAAACTTTTTTCTTTTTTTTTTAAAGTAATTGCAGCGTGCCTTTTTTAATCGAAGAATCACACAACGCAATATAGCTACCAATAAAGTGCAGGACTGAGAAGGAGATCACCACCATTCATGCAGCAGGCGCTGAGGATATCGATATTGCAGTTGCAGTGGCACGGACTGCCTTAAAACACCCTTTTTGGTGAACAGCTGCCTGGGACAGATCGCGGCAAACTCCTATTGGAATCCTTGGTCTGACGAACAGGGAAAACCTGGTTTCGGGGGGGCTATATCGATAAGCAGTCGGATTTGACGTACGAGCTACTGCCAATACACTCCGATATTATGCAGGACGGGCAGACAAAGTGCAAGGAACGGCCTTCGCGACAACACCTGAGAAACTGGCATACACCATTCGTGAACCCGTAGGTATTTGCGGTTAGATCATACCGTATGTGGTCATTATAAACCTAGCTTCCACAAAGGAACAAGATGAAAGCTGATTTTTTTTTTACCACAGATGGAACTCTCCTTTAGCAAGTACTAACATATGCATATAGCACTGTTAAAGATCGACTAACCTATACTACAGGTAACATGTATAACAAGGACAGGTCTGCACCGCGACTGCAACTGCTATCTGCCGGTAATGGGAGCTTCATGAGGACCGTACATGTAGAAAACCGCACCCGGGCCGAAAAATGATAATGCGGAGTCGACATTCTCTCCTGAACAGTTTTTTGAAGCCTTGGAACAAGTCGCGGGTCAAGGAATCTTTGCGCCACCAGTTGGATCATGATGGGGTTCAAACTTCGTCAGGCGCCATAGAGAGCCAAAGGCGCGTTTTATGCGTAGATTTGACTATCAGAGGGCTCTTTGCGAAGATCCAAATGTGATTTCGGGCTGGTCTCTGCTCGTAAGCGACCCTGTTGCGAAATACGGTATCTAGGAGGAAGAATTCTATAACGAACTCATCAACGTCCATTTTAACTGCTATAGGTTAATTTGCAAAGAGGACGCGCGGGATAATGTCCTGGATAGCTCTATTAGAAGTCGATAATGAGCAGCTGTAAGGGGCGAATATAATACTAAACAAGCGTTAGAGAGCAAGAAAAATACGAGTACGTCAGGGCAGTAGTATGATTATTGCTGAGAGATGGATATTGAGTAGTAGGCATTATAAGAAATTTATTAGAATAAAGGTTGGAAGAGGTGGGATAGGACGAAGGGTCGGTGATATGGCATATATAGTAAGTCCAGTTATATAGTACTGATAATGCCTGCACTTGCTAAAATCATAGTAGAGATATCTAATGAAGAGGAAGTGACGAAAATTAATTGAATTCGTAGCAATAGGTATAGTGAGCGATAGAACTATGGATGGTGGGAGCACAAAGGCATATTTAAGTATGAGCATCTATCACATGTCTAATAGGTAGACGCGCGTGCTGCCTAGGGGTGAGGGCGGTGGACAAAGGCAACCCGTGTACAGGGATCCTTCCGCTTCCAGCCTTGCTATCGGCATTCTCGCTCTTCCATCCTACACAGTCTGTACATACACCTACATGTATTCCTGCTACTGCTTAAATAATAGATTTCAATTCTCATTTCAATTCTCCTCCCCCCCGGTCAGTGACAAAAGCCTCAAGCCATCCCCGCAATGTCGTCGCTCCACGCCTCGTCCCTGTACAATGTCGACGGCCTCGTTGCTCTCATAACCGGTGGCGGCACCGGTAAGTATCTCGCGCGCTTATTTCCACGCACCACAATAAACCAGGGGACAGGAATGCATATTAACAGGTAACCAAGGCATTGGGATAATGATGGCGAAGGCGCTCGCTGAGAATGGCGCCGCCAAGGTCTACATCGCTGCTCGTCGCCTGGAGCCGCTTCAGGCCGCGGCCAAGGAGATTGGCCCGCAGGTTGTCCCTATTCGCTGTGACGTTACCGACAAGGACGATTTGATGCAGGCGGTGCGGACTGTAGAGTCCCAGGTGGGCTATTTGAACCTCCTCATTTGCAATTCTGGCACCACTGGCGTAGGAGACTCCCTACTCCAAAGAGGCAAGCCTCCGTCCCCCCAAGAATTCTTCGCCAAACACTGGGCCTTTAGCGTCCAGGAATACCTCCGCCCTTTCGGCGTCAACGTCGCCGGCGCGTGGTACACAAGCGTGGCCTTTTTGCCGCTGCTCGACGCGGGAAATAAAAAAGGTAACGTTTCGCAGAGCTCTCAAATCATCGTTATTAGCTCCACGGCCGGCTTGAGCAAGCGCGGCGACGCTGGCTTCGCCTACGGACAGTCCAAAGCCGCCAGTATACACCTGGCCAAGCAGCTTTCGACGTTGCTGCCGCAGTGGGGGATGCGCGCTAATTGCATTACTCCGGGCTGTGAGTGTACATAGATATATGGCTATTCTTGACTCGACTGATTACCTTTGGCACAGTTTTTCCGAGCGATTTGGTTGAACCAGCATTGAAGCCGCTCAAAAACGCTGATGGAACGCTGGGAAAGCTAGGGAGAGCGTTTCCTTTGCGAAGATTGGGAAATGAAGAAGACATGGGTGGTACAATACTGTATCTGGCTTCAAAAGCAGGCGCCTATACGAATGGCACGATTATGCTAGTTGATGGCGCGGTCATGCATACTATGCCGTCGGTTCTCTAGGTTATGGTCTCAAGTTTATGCGCTCGAAGTAGGTACAATATTAACAATTTTATATTAAAACAAAACGGATGTGTTACGCGGTTATAGCAAACACTTGTTTGCTTCTACACATTTGCATCTGTCTGTTTGGTGCCCGATGTTTGAACAACTAAATCAGCAACTGCAGAGATGGAGCTGTTGCTTCCCATAATATCGAACACTGTCACAGCTGCATCAAAGTCCTTCTTGAACCAATTTCGCAGCTCCACCGCCATAAGGGAGTCAACACCGTAGGCAGACAATGGGTTCCGACCGTCAACATCCTCCTTTGAAATGCACAGGGCGTCCGCCAATTTGTGAACGATGGCCTCTAGCGCAACGCTCCGCTTAGCAGAGCTGGATGTTGCCCGCCGAAATAGCAGCGCTGATTCGTTGGTTGACCTGCCGCCCCTGTGAGAGAGAGCGTCTTGCTTCGTCGCCACGGGGAAGCCAGAAAAGAATGGCCGGCCTTCGATGTGGGAAGGCAACAGATGCGCTGTTTTCCAGTCCGAGGGAGACACTCCGCCGACGATAATCTGCACATCGTTATCCCGCCTCGCTAGATTCAAAGGGTCGCAGTACCGGTCGAGCACAGCGAGGATGTCTCTACAAAAGACCTTTTTGGCATCGCGAATGGTGTTGGCGCTCAGTTTGAAGTCGTCGTGGTCCACCATGGCGCCAACGTCTCGAATCAGCGCGAGATTCAGGCTGACAGCACGGCGGCCGATGGCGATACGATGGCGAGCCAGCGCATCCTGCGCCGAGCAAGCAGCTGCGTAGTTGCACTGGCCGGGCGATCCATACACTGCCGACACGGAGGAGAGCAGGATGAAAAAGTCCAAGTCCTCTGGCAAAAGCTGATGCAAATTCCACGACGAGTCCACCTTGGACTGCAGCGACCTCTGCCATTGCGCGTGCGTCATGTTAAAGTACGTGGAATCTTGAAGAGACATGGCGGCATTGATGCACCCCCTGATTGGCGGGAGGTCTCTGTGCTTGTCCAGCAGCCTGGCAAGCTCGTCCCTTGAGCTGGCGTCGCACGGCGTGGTGATGATGACGGCGCCTTGTCGCTCTAGGCTGTGCACAAAGGACGACACGGCTTCTGATTTGATGCCTGATCGGGTGGGCGTCATAAAGTATCGTGCCCCTCGCTCAAACATCCAGCTGATGAGAGATCGGCCAATTCCGCCTAAACCACCTACAATAATGTAGGTGGCGCTTTTGGGGAATCGCCAACCGGCTCGTTTTATCATGAATTTCTAAAGAAACGCATCAAGTCAGCAACAGTCCGTAGACAAGCGTCCCAACCGCGGCCAATGCTTTTGTGCCACTTACCGAAACTGTGTCTTCAGGGTCAAGAGTGATGATGGTGCGGCCGGTATTTTTTCCGCTTTGAATGAACCGAAATGCCTTTTCTGATTCCGCAACTGGGAATAAATGCACGGGTTTTGGGTACCGACCGACGTTGGTATGGAACAGCATGTCGACCGCCGTCCTCGTCAAGTCTCTCAATGCGTCTGGATCCTCGGCGCCCAGGTGCGCCAGGTCAACGGCAGAAAAGGTTGCGTTTTTGGCAAAGTGCGACATGGGCAGGCTGGAGCCCGCGCCGATGTCCGCCTTGCCAATCTCGATGAATCTGCCAAAGGGTGCGATGCAGGACCATGACGCCTTTAGCTTGTCCCCGGAGAGAGAGTTCAAAACGACATCGACGCCCCGGCCGGCCGTCTCGCGCAGAATGCCCAGCTTGAACGACGTATCGCGGCTGTAAAAGATGTTACTCTCTGGGATGCCAAACTCCTCCATGAGTAGCTTCTTCTTGTCGTCGAAGCCGACTGTTGCGTACACTTCCGCGCCAATACGCTGCGCGATGCAGACTGCCATTTGA